TATGTTTTATCCCCCAGACCTTTCACCATTTTTGTTACCCCCGTCCCCTGGACTCATTCTATCTAATTAATATCTTTTTGCAAGTGAGGTCTCCAGAACTGGACACAGTATTCTAAATGAGGTCTAACTAAATATATCTATATAGGGGAATCAGGACCTCCTTCCTTCTGCTGGTAACCCCTCTAGTGATGCATCCTGGAATTCTATTCGCTTTCCCCACTGTCTGGCCACACTGTTTGCTAAGTTTGCAATCACCTGAAATAAGTACCCCCAAGTCCTTTTCCTCTGAAGTGCTGGCCAACACTGTACCCCCAATGTTGTACTCTCTCAAGGGATTATTTTTCCTTATGGGCTTTATTTTACATTTAGAAACATTGAACTGCAATTTCCACTTTTTTGACCAACCTTCCAACAATGTCAATTCATGCTCCATATTACAGACACCTCCAGGTAGGCCTGGACTGAGCAGCCCAAACCTTGGGACCTTTTCCTTGGAGCCTGGTGGCGGAACGAAGACCCTGGTAATTCCACACTAGTGTCAGAAGATTTTTATTTGTTTACAATTTTAGATTTTATTCGTTTTACTTTTTTTGTAGGCGAGAAAGAGAAAGAAGGAAGGAAGGAGGAAAGGAAGAGAGAAAGGAAAGACAGAGAAAGAAAGAAAGAAAGAAAGAAAGAGAAAGAAAGAAAGAAAGAAAGAAAGAAAGAAAGAAAAAAAGAAAGAAAGAAAGAAAGAAAGAAAGGAGAAAAAGGAGACAGAGTGAGAAAGAAGGAAGGAGGCAAAGAAGGAAGGAGGAGAAAGAAAGAAAGAAAGAAAGAAAGAAAGAAAGAAAAGAAAGAAAGAAAGAAAGAAAGAAAGAAAAAAGAAAGAAAGGAAAAAAGAAAGAAAAGAAAGAAAGGAAAAAAAAGGAAAGAAAGAAAGGAAAGAAAAAGAAAAGGAAAAGAAAGAAGAAAGAAAGGAAAGAAAGAAAGAAAGAAAGAAAGAAAGAAAGGAAAGAAAGGAAAGAAAGAAAAAAGAAAGAAAGAAAGAAAGAAAGAAAGAAAGAAAGAAAGAAAGAAAGGAGAAAACAGGAGACAGAGAATAGAGAGAGAGAGAGAGAAAAAGATGTATAGAAGGAGGGAAAAGGTATAGGAAGGAGGGAAAGGAGGGAAAGGAGGGAAAGAGGGAAAGGAGGGGAATAAAGAACGAATGAGGGAAACAGGAGACAGAGAGAAAGAAAGACATACAGAAGGAGGAAAAGAAAGAAAAGAATAAGAAAGGAGAGAGGAAAAAATGAAAGAGGAAAAGAAAGGAGAGATATTAGAGAAAGAAAGAAAGAGAGAGAGAGAGAAGGGGAGAGAGAGAGGGGGGGGGAGAGAGAGAGAGGGAGAGAAAAAAAGAAGAAAGAAAGAAAGGAAAGAAAGGAAGGAAAGAAAAGAACAAAAAGGGGAGAAAAGAAAAGGAAAGGAGAGAAAGAAAGGAAAGGAGAGAAAGGAAAGGAAAGGAAAGGAAAGGGAAGGAGAGAAAAAAAGGAAAGGAAAGGAGAGAAAAAAAGGAAAGGAAAGGAGAGAAAGAAAGGAAAGAAGAGAATGGAAAGGAGGGAAAGGAGAGAAGGGAAAGGAGAGAAAGGAAATGAGAGAAAGAAAGGAAAGGAGAGAAAGGAGAGGAAAGAAAAAGAAAGTAGAGAAACAGGAGACAGCGAGAGAAAGAAAGAAAACTATAAAATAGAAAAAGAGAAAGAAAAAAATGAGAGAAAACGGGGAAGAGAGAGAGAGGAGAGAGAGGGAGAGAGAGAGAGAGGGGGAGAGAGTGAAAGAGAGGGGGGGGCCGGGAGAGAGTGAAAGGGGGGGAGAGAGTGAAGAGAGGGGGGAGAGAGAGGGGGGAGAGAGAGGAGAGGGAGGGGAGAGAGAGAAAGAGAGGGAGAGAGAGGGAAGAGAGGGGAAGAGAGGGGGAAGAGAGGGAGGGAGAGGGGGAAGAGAGGGAGGGAGAGGGGGAGAAAAGAAACAGGAGACAGAGAGAGTTGAGGGAGGGGGCTGCTGGAGGAGATGGGGGGGGCGCTGGAAGAGATGAGGGGAGGGGGGCACGCTGGAGATGAGAAAGGGGGGCCCCCGGAGATTGGAAAGGGGGGCCCCACTGGAGATGAGGAGGGGGCGCTGGAGGAGATAAGGGGGGGGACCGCTGGAGGAGATGAGGGGGGGGGCCCGCAGGAAGAGATGAGGGAGGCTTGTCGCTAGAGGAGATGAGGGAGGGGGGCTGCTGGAGGAGATGAGGGAGGGGGGCCGCTGGAGGAGATGAGGGAGGGGGCCGCTGGAGGAAATGAGGGAGGGGCCGCTGGAGGAAATGAGGGAGGGGGCCGCTGGAGGAAATGAGGGAGGGGGGGGGGGCGGCCACGGGGGGGAGCATACAGGAGCAGACTGCATGCAAGAGATTGATAGGAGAGGCGGCTGTGCGGCACATAGAGGAACTGAGAAATGCATGGTCCTCTATGTGCCACCCTGCCGTCTCTCTTATCCAGGCGGCTCCGGTCCACTGGACAAATACCCGGTGTGTCCTATGGCCAGTCCGGGCATGCCTCCAGGGATATCAACCCTATTACACACCTTTGTGTCAGCAGCAAAAAGACATCTTACCCAACAAACCTTTAGTTATACCACTTACATATAGATTAAATAGAACAGGACCTAGTACAGAGCCTTGTGGTACACCACGAGTGACCGGTCTCTGTTCCGAGTGAACTCCATTTACAACCACACTCTGGTATCTATCCTTTAGCCAGCTGCATATCCACTGAACCACTCAAGGGCTAAGTCCTAGCTTGTACAATTTTTTGTATATAAATAAAAAAAATGGACGAGGCACAACCATTACGATTCTTCCATCAAAATATAAAATTATACGCAGCACAAAGAAACAAGGGTATTGTACTCACAAACTATAACTGTGCTGACATGCTTCTAGGAAAGTGAAAAATGATCCAGGGTATTGATAATGCTGTAACAAGTGTAAACAACTGGGAATGTTAAGATTTTACCCGCTTGACCCCAGGCCAATTTTGAAATCTCTCTCATACATGTAAAAATCTGCATTTTTTTGCTAGAAAATTAATCCTTAGGTCCAGCTTTCTCTTTGGTCAGAGAACAGTGAGCATCACAGAGTGAAATCACCACATCTCACTGCAGTTTGGGTAAGACTAACAGTCAGAAGCAGCAGTGACACTGCAGCTATAGCACCGTAGGCACAGAAGTGCTTAGGCACAGAAACTGTTTCTCACAAGGTAAATTGTACATATTTCAGGGTACTACCTATGCACAATTAATATTTGCAGATATTTCCTAAAACATAGCAACCTTCACTTTAACAGTGAGGGATGCACCAGGGAATATGACCCAGAGCTATTTTAGCAGAAGAATCAGAATCACCTGACTTTGCTCCAACTCAACATCTGCTTGTCTTTCTAAATGCTGCTCTTCAAGCTTCCGATCAAATATTCTCCAGGCCTGCTGTACTTCATCAATCTCCTTTTCCAGCTCATTAATGTCTTGCTCCAGTGTGCCACAGCGTTTCTCACTTTTCTTCAGGGAAGATTTAGTCATTTCAGCCTTCTTCATCTGGTGTAAAGAATTTTCTTTTGCTTTAATGAACTGGGGCCTTAATTGATTTAGCGATGCTTCGTGGACCCTTAAAGTGATGTGAGAAAAAAGATCATTAAACTGGTTTTCTCTTCAAACCATCAATCGGCTTTTGTTTTTCTTAGCGTAAACTGACAAATCAAACCCATATACTCAGGGCTCCATGCACGCTAGTGTTTTTTTAAAACTCAAAAAACACTGGATAAAAAACGCTGCTAGCAGCGTTTTTTTGGGTAGTGTTCAGGAGGGTTAATTTTTTTTTTAACAAGCAAACTATTAAGAGAAGAATATACGTAGTCACATCATACATCCAATAGGGATGGAAACAAAGTTGTGGCCAAAAGAATTATCAGTACACAAACAAGAAAACACTTGACGTGTGCAAGTAAAATAAAACTAACAAAGTTCAGCTAACATGGCACCTCTACCACAGGGAGAAATATACATAACAAGGAAAGGGCAAAATAAACAAACCACAATCACACACCCTCCTCCTCACCACAAGTGGACCTGGAGTCAAGCCACTTATCCCAAATTTTATGATATTTAGCAGGGCATCCTCTATGCACATAAATAACCTTCTTATATGGTAATCTACTGTTGCAGCGACCCACTGTGGAAATGTAGGTGGCAGTACTTGAAGCCAAGCAATCAATCTGGCCATAAAGAGTTTCCTGTAAGAAAATAGTTTGAAATGTATCCGTTTCCGAGCTAAGGAGAAGACATTGCTTAGGGTATAGAGTAAGAGGGAACCCATTTTATCATGGAGAAACCGAACCACCTGAATCCAGTAGCCCTGAATGAGAGGACAAGACCATATGCAGGGATGTGCAATTCATATTGCCTGACGCCCGGGACATGCAGTTCCGGACGTCGGGCAGGTAATTCTTATTTAGATTTAGCCCTGCTGCAGGCAAGCAGCAGGGTTTATTTCTTTTTTTTTTTTTTGCAGAGCAGACACCAGTGCTGCACAAACAGATCTTCATGCTACACCAGAGTTAGCAGGCTCTCCACTCATCCATGCTGCTGTCCGGTGTAGGAAGTCCCTCTCACTAGCTTGGCGGCTCCCTCAACCTATCCACTCAGCTCAGCAGCCCCGTTCAGTCCTTGCCACTGCCACACTTCTCTTACTCTCCTCCTCCTTGGACACGCTGACAAGTCGCCCTTCCCGCACCTCAGCACTTGCTCTCCTTGTATCCCTCAGTCTGCATACGCTGTGCTGCAGAACGCACATGCAGCGGGCGGCCTCAGGACCAAAACCACCATAGAAGACATATCAATGGCAACACATTAACCGCCTCCCCCGCCTGACATATAAGGAAATGACGGATGGGCGGGGTGGTTCTCTCGTTCTGGGAGGAAGTCATACGACGTCCTCCCACTGTAACTGGGCCCCTGGGGGCACGCAGCGTGGCGATCAGTGCTACGCTGTGTCCCTGGGACACAGTGGATCACCGATCAGCGGAAAGAGCCGATGACAATGGCTCTGTCAAGTGATCAGCTGTGTCCAATCACAGCTGATTGCATGTAAATAAGGAATTGCGGTTATTGGCATTTCTCTCCTCACGAGCTGTCATGCTGACAGCACGTGAGGAGAAGAGAGCCGGTAATCGGCACTCCTCAGAGGGGAAATCTACACTGATGATCAGTGTAGCCCCGATGATCAGTGTAGCCCCATCAGTGTCACCTATCAGTGCCCATCAATGCCACCTGCCAGTGCCCATCAGTGCACATCAATGCCACATATCAGTGCCTACCAGTGCACATCAATGCCACATATCAGTGCCCATCTGAGCTGCCTTTCAGTGCCACCTATCAGTGCCAGTCAGTGCTACCAATCAGTGCCAGTCAGTGCTGCCTGTCAATGCCCACCAGCGATGCCTGTCAATGCCCATCAGTGCCACCTACCAGTGCCTCCTCATCAGTGCCGCACATCAGTGAAGGAGAAAAATTACTTATTTACAAATTTTATAACAGACCCTAAGAAAAAACTTTTTTTTTCTTCAAAATTTTCAGTTGTGTTTGGTTTGTTTAGCAAAAAATAAAAAACCCAGAGATGATTAAATACCACCAAAAGAAAGCTCTATTTGTCTCAAAAAAAGATAAAAATTTCATATGAGTACAGTGTTGCATGACCGCGCAATTGGCATTCAAAGTGTGACAGCGCTGAAAGCTGAAAATTGGCCTGGGCAGGAAGGGGGTGAAAGTGCCCTGTAGACAAGTGGTTAAACTCTTTTACTATTACTTCCTTATTTCCTATTACTACTTATCTACTCCACCTGCCACATCCACACACTGCATTGTACTTTGTGATTGCTGAAAGTAGGGATAATCAGAGGTGGCATGCCACCTTGGACCATCCCCACACTCCACACGCCACCTCAAACCATCCCCATGCTCCGCACGCCATCTCAGACCAACCCCACACGCCACCTCGGACCATCTGCACGCCACCTCGGACCATCCCCATGCTCCACACGCCACCTCGGACCATCCCCATGCTCCACACGCCACCTCGGACCATCCCCATGCTCCACACGCCACCTCTGACCATACCCATGCTCTGCACGCAGCCTCTGACCATCCCCACTCTCAGCAGGACACCTCTATAGGTATGGTCAGAGGCGTGATTGCTGAGTGACGGGATGGTCAGCCTTTATTAAATAAGGTTTTGGTTAAAAACATTTTTTTCATTAGGCCAAGTAGATTGTCGTAAGGGACAAGTAGATTGGGACCCCGATTTAGTCACTTGGACAAGTAGTTTTTTTTTTACATTTCCACACCCGATATGAGATGAAGAGGTACCATCAGAAACCCCACATCTAGGACAGAGTGGATTGTATTTTGGTCTGTATCTAGATAACCAAATAGGTGTTAAATAGGTTCTATGTAGTATGTATAGCTGGGTGAGGCGATCTGACAATTCCGGGAGACCAATTTGCTTGAGGTCAATACCTTTTCCCACAGTTCCTTATCCATCTCCCCCATGTCCACCTCCCATCAGGGGTTTTAAGTTGATATGCAAATGTCGATGCAGGAGGTAGAAGGAGGGTATTGCAGAATGCAGATGTAAGTTTTTTGGACTCTGTACCCAGAATCACATCCATAAGTTATGTAGAGTCCAGCTGCGGGGTGGAGTCACCAAATTGGGCATGCAGCGCATGGCGAAGCTGGAGCTAGCAGAACAAAATTAGGGAGGTCAAATTCCGATTTAAGGTCTTGAAAGGGTTTAATAACAGCACTGGTGAACACCTGGGAAACATACAAAATCCCCCTGTTGATCCCTATATGAAAGTCGGGGAGAGTAAGCAATTCAGGGGCATGTATGCAGGGAACTTGCAACTTACTAGAGACCATTGATCAGATCTTCCAGTGGTAGTACAGCAATCCCCTGCGGCCACCCATAATTGAGGAGTCCCGCATGCCCTTTAATATAAGCTGAAAGGGGTAGGTTGCCCAAGAGAAGGCTGGAGCACACACTAAGGCAAGATATCGATCTTTATCCCCTTTGTCTAAGTGGAAAAAATGAGACAATTGAGCTACTAAATAATAGGGCCTAAAATCTGGAAGCGCTGCACCCCCCCCCCCCACCAATGCGTGGGATTTTTAAGAGCACGTCACGACAGTTCATGTCTCGTATTGCCCCATACAAAGGCGTTAAACATAGAATCAAGAGATTTGAAAACATGTAACGGTAAATATACTGGTGCATGCCAAAGAATATAAAAATATAAAGAAGTTTAGGCAGATGCACTATCTTGATCAAATTAATACACCCCATAACTCCTAAAGGTAGATGAGCTCAGGCCTGTAAATTGGATTTCAGCATAGGGTACAGAGGTTCCAGGTTAAGTTGAAGACAATCCTCAGCTACGCGAGAAACCACAACCCCAAGATATGTAATAGCACTGACTCTAACTAGAGGGAGAGTGGCCTGTTCCTCAGTAGGCGCAACAATGTCCAGAGGGAGAATCTGGGACTTTCCCCAGTTTTTTTTTCTAAGACCGGAAAAGCATCCAAAATAGTCTATAAGGTCAAGAGCAGCCCTAAGAGAAGGGCCCGCATCTTCCAGGTACAAGAGCATATCATCCGCATATAAGCTCACCATTTTGGTTACTTGACCAGAGCACAGACCTCGAATTTCGGGGTGTGTACGGAGAGCTATGGCTAAGGGTTCCACCGCCAGCGCATATAACAAGGGGGAAAGAGGACAACCCTGGCGCGTATCTATAGAAAGGGGAAAGGAATCAGATACCCGGCTGCCAACCAGGACCCTGGCTGTAGGAGCATGATAGAGTAATTGAAGCCATTTAAGAAATGTAAGCCCAAATTGGAATCTACGTAAACATTCCCATAAATACCCCCACTCCACCGAGTAAAAAGCTTTAGCAGCATCAAGTAAAACGACAACTCTGGAACCCATATGTTCATGGGAAGCCTGCAGGTTCATAAAGAGCCTCCGTAGGTTAAACGCCGTGTTTTTAGCTGGCACAAACCCGACCTGATCCGGGTGGATTAAATGTAAAATTATTTTGTTTAAGCGCAGGGCCTTAGCCAAGATCTTAATATCAAGTTGTAAGAGGGAAATGGGGTGGTATGACTCGGGGAGTAGGGGGTTCCTTACTGAGTTTAGGTGCAAGGACTAATAATGCTTCACACATTGATTAAGGAAGGGAGGTGGATTTGTAGATATGTTGGTACAATTTGTGTAGGCGAAGGACGAGAGAGTCCTGGAAATAAGTGGAAAACTCCAGTGCGAGTCCATCAGATCCCGGTGCTTTAGAGGGGGATAAGTGGGCTATGACTTCAGTTAGGTCTGCGATAGAGATGGGGGCTTCCAATTTTGCAATTTGAGAGGGGGTAAGGGTAGGAAAAGGTATGGTTTGTAAAAAATTGATAAGCTCAGTGGAAGAGCTAGTAACCGTGAATGAATAAAGTATGGAAAAGAAGTTACGGAACTCCTTTGTAACTAGGTCCGGATCGGTGATATGGGCACCAGAGGCACCGTGCAGGGAAATCACAGTAGGGGGCCTGAGATCCAGATGTGCCAGGTATGCCAATAAGTCACTGGCTTGTTCCCCATGTTCAAATATTCTCTGTCTACTGAAAAGATGTTTTGTTTGGCCTTCTGAAAAAGCAGATGATTAATTAGGCAAGCCTGTAGTTTCACTAGGAAAGCGGCCTCAGCCGAGGGGTTTGCCTGAAAAGAGTGTTTCTAAGTCTAGCAATTGTTCCTCCTCCTGTTGCATAACCAGTCTGGATGTAGCCTTGTACCTAGAGATGCGGGACGCCAAAATGCCACAGGCATGCAATTTAAAAGGAGTCCCTTACTGTCCCGTAATAAGCCGACCCCTGGTTATTGGTAAAGAAAAAGTCCCAATCAGCCTGCACTCCCTCCAAATCAGGGAGAATAGTCAACCAGAAGGGATTCAGTTTCTACATACATGTAGACGAGGACGTAGATGAAGAAGTGGATTATCGAAGTGTCAGCCAACATGAAGAGTGGTCAGATAACACTCAAGGGGAAAAACCCGCCTCCTCCAAATTAGGTAAAAGTGATTTGGATATAAATAGAAAATCTATGCAGGACATAGTGGAGTGAGAAGCGGAAAAGCAGGCGTAAGCTTTAGTCGTAGGGTGCAGGTACCTCCAAGTGTCCACCAGTGAGAATTCTGTCAAAAGTTTACCAAATCTAGTAACCTGGGATGGGGTATGGACAGGGGGGTTGTAATCCAATCTATAACGACTGGGGTCTATAATCATATTAAGATCCCCCAACCACACTGTAGGGACTGCAGGGTGATGTGCAATAAACGCCAAGCCTTCAGTTAACACTGCAAACTGGAAGGGGAGGGGGGGAGATATAGTAGGCCAATATCAACATTTCCATATCATTAAGGATTGCGTGTAAAAAAAGAAACCTACCCTGAGGATCCGAGTGCAAACATAGGAGCTGAAAATAGATTGTCTTAGCAATTAGTTTGGCAACACCTCAGGAATTAGAGGTGTAAGGGGCTTGATAAAGCCACCCAAACCAGGTCTTTTTTTCAGGCCAATTGGAGCTGACCAGTGATGTGGTTTCTACAAGGACTGTCACGTCAACTTTCAGAGATTTTAGATGGGACAAAAACAGCAGTGCGTTTAGGCCGTGCCCTCATGCCACGAACATTCCATGTCAAAAATTTGAGATTAGCCATGACAGAATGCAAGACAGAAACGCATGTATACGGATCCACAAGAGCAGGCTACATATTGCAAAAATATCACAATGAAACATATAGCCTAGGGGAGCAGGCTATATCTAGAGCCATTATGGAGTATAGATGATGAGCCACCAACTTTCCATATAGAGAAACTACAAAATTATCAGTGGACAACATAACATTCTTCTCAAGTTTGCAAACACAATACAATACTAACGTGAACAAACTAAACAGGTAAAAGAATAAGCAATATACTCTGGACCAGCATGGAAATGGCAAATGGAGGTATTGACAAATTGCCACACTCTAGCTGGCCAGGGAAACCTTGCATAGGGTAAAATATAAAAAAGGAACCCAAACCTCCACCCAAAAAAGGACCTTGAAGACAAAAAACAACAGCAAAACCCGAAACACACTGGAGGAGGTTCAATCACTAGGGGAGCAAACAACCCGCTGAAAAGTGGGTCATTGCCCAGGGTGTCAGATGTCCAAGTGGAGGGGGAGATAGAACAGAATAGAACTAGTGTAAAAGGGAAAGGAGAGAAAAGAAGGATAAAAAAAAGAGGGGGGAAGGGAAAGGGGGCGCAGAAGAGGAAAACTGTAGAGAAAAAACAAATAAGTAACTGAAAAAAAGAGCAGGTGAAGAGGATAGTGCAGCAGAGAGAACCACCGGACATCTGGGTGGGAGAGGCCAGAGACTAGCAAGTAGGACAAAATGAAGGGG